GGGGGGGCGGTTTACGGGAAGTTTCGCTGCCTGAGCTCTCCTTCTCCTGTCGTTTGACGAGTAGACGCTCAAGGGCACTCGCATGATGTCCTAGGGGTTCAGCATTGGGGGGTCCCGGGATAAATTCTTCCATAGAGTCAGCTTTGCGTGCAGGTATGCGATTAGGGTCTACAGGTACCGGGGGCTCCACCAGAGGGCGGAGCTCTGCAAGATCTGCCGAGATTCCAGCATCGGGGGCCATAGTAGAAGTGGAGAGATCTCCTGCCGTCACAGTTAGCTCTGCCTCGGATTGCTTGTCTTCCCCCGCCGAGTCTACCTCGATGGGCGTGGGAGGCGCGGCAGCAAGAGTTTCCTGATTATCAGGCCCCGCCCCTCCAAAGGGGACGGTAGTAGCCTGGCTAATCGCGGTGTCCACCCCCATAGCTAGACTCCGGGCATGACGGCACTCAAGTTCCTCAGCCACAGCTCGAACCCCTCTGAAAAGCCCTCCCTCGGGTCCCCCAACCAAAGGCGAGGGCTTAGGTTTCGCTGCTGCTGCATGTCCCGAGATCATCCCTCACTCACCGCAGTCACACTACCAGTGGGAGGAGAAAGAGAGGCAGGGGAGTAGAAGAGAGGGAAGCAGCCAGACGAGACAGTTGACTATCGTCCCAAAACGGACCCTGTAGCCATTTTGGCTTTAGGGTTTAGTGACTCTAGTCTTGAGCCATTTGAGCACAGATTTGATGCAAACGATGTCGCTTGGAAATCCCAAAAGTTTAAAAGTTACACAAACTGGGCTAAAGCGTGTATGGAAGCAGTTAACCCATGTCTGCGATTACAAGCATTGAACATTCGAACTGCGTCAGTATAGTACCACTCCTTGACCATCTGCTACATTGATGGGCAATTATGAAATAAAGCTCAACTGCTGTAAACTCGTTCAAATTATTAGTTCAGTATTGAAATCCAACATGAAACACAATACCAATGGTTGGAACAAGTGGGCCCAATCTTAGCACATTGTCATTGTCAGGGTCTACGTCGGTCAAGGTGAGCACAGGATGAGAGTATGAATATGTAACTCCGCTGATGAGAGGCGTTTATAATCTTGTACATTGTACATATGTACCACCCAGAGGAAAAGAAGCCTTTAAATCAAACGTGGAGGCGCTGTAAGCCGTAAGCATTGTTCCCTGGGATATCCCTGGCCAGTCCTGCATGTGCTCGGCCAACGAAGGGATTTCTTGAGCCCCCTGCGGCCAGCACACCAGTGCTGCTCTTAGCACGTCCTGGGCGCTGATCGGTGAGCAGAGTACAATGCCTTTCACTAGATGCTCGCAGTCTCCGCCAAGCAACAAGCGGCACCTGTTGCCCCGTGCCTCGCCAATCTGCCTGACACACAATCCAAGACCAGCTTCCAAGTCCAGTGCCGTACCCAGCCTGAAACTGATCCGCATAAGCTGCTGTGCAGGTTGCCATATACTCTGTGGTCGCAGCCATCTCAGATGGAAGGGCAGCGGGCAGCAGGCGTGCACGGGCTTGCCGGCTGCGCGACGCATAACACTGGGGAAGCTAAAGCAGGCCAAGTTTCGTCATCTTGCCAAACATTCCTGCCACCATGCGGCTTGCTGCGACTGAATTGAACCATTGTCCACGCCCTGTGCATGTACTTGGCACCTGCGCATGTTGAAAAAGTGTTCGAACACAAATGTTACAAATGAAGCTACAGCTGCCTCAAAAGCTCTTTTCGTTGCCATGTTTAGCCAAGGCTGACTTGCAGAGAATGCGCTTGACAACTCTCCGTTTGGCAAAATGTCGAGAATTTGACACATACTGGCGATGTTTCAAGTGAGGCCTTCGACAAGGAAGTGGTAGAAGGGGACACCTCATCTCAAAACCGTCACAGGCTTCGAGCGTCGACTCGCAAAGCTGGCGGCAGGTGACATATACAAGCAGACGCAATCGAATTCATGTAGCTGTAGAAGTTTCATCAGCTGCTAGCTCTCCAAACCACTCGCCAGCGGACTTCAGTCACATGCCTTTCGATGTGCCACATGTGTTCTCGGCTTCATGTATTTCTTTTCCAGCCGGTGGACCACGAAGACTGCTACCAGTAGCATCAGGCTTGACGTCTTTCATTCATGTACTTTTGGTCGAGCCCCGTTCGTCAGGTGCCTTTGCCTTCTCTTGCTGCCACAAGCTGTTGAAGCTTGTTGTCGGGTCACCAACTGACAGCAAGGCAGAAACAACGTTTCTTACATGGTTGGCAGTTCGACTCTGCTGGGTTTCAACGACCCGGAAGGCCACTAGACTCTCTAGGCATTGTCGGGGTGCTTTGTCGCAACCACCGTGGACATTGGACATTGCAAGTATTGCATGTGTTTACCGCACGTCCTGATGCACCGACCCTACTGTGAGCTGCAGTTCTGCAGCTTGCGCTCATCCCACTCCATCATTGCAAGCATATCTTTCAATGCAACTGATGTCCATTTCAAGCTTTTGTTGTCTCTATAACCCAAGCATGCCACACCAGTCACCTGCAACTTTTCATCCAGGATGCTGCTCAATGGCACACAGTCCATTTCAGAGCTATTGGCACGCACAGGCCATGCCAAGCCTGAGAAGCATTGCATCCCGGAGCAGCCCCAGCAAGAACCGACGGCTCATGCACAGCGCTCCGAGGCCCATGGGGCAGGTTCCGTCTATGCAGCCGAAAGCACACAAGGAGCACTTCTGCCCGTCACCACATTGACCTCTGGTAACAGCCTGGCACCGCACGATGTACACAGAAGGCGAACGTTTGGAATCCATAAGACTCCCGGTGCCTCGCACACTTCTCGAGTTTTGCAGAACCCGTAAAGCTTGCCGCTTTGAACGGCATGCTCCTCGGATCAGAAACACAGCACGCTTGTGTGCAGCGTCCGATTTCAGCTACGTGCACCTGTATCACTAGGCGCCAGCTGACGTTAGGTCAACCCAACTAAAAACCAAACCCCAAATGCTCATGATTTCGCTCTATTCTCGCATCTTCAAGGCAAAATGCCGAAGGAGCTGTGCACTGTGCCTTACACAAACTGTTGCAGGCGGCGCTGAACATCCAAACTGCCCAGCTCGCCCACATTATGCACCTTAACTGATGCCTTATCTCAATGAGACCTGGGCTGTGGCTTACCGAAGTTGTACAATCGAAAACTCCCAAAACACTTTGCGACGTCCCTGTAAGTGCCAACTGCTACTTGGGAAGGCCTTTCCCAAATGTGATACATTGTCAGCTTGGGTTCATAACCTCGCAGAACCGCTGTTTTTGGCTGTGAAAAGGTGTTGCGATTCCGTTTGTCGGAGTCGCGCGGAACTAAGTCTTCAGAAAACAGCTTTGCACGGTCCCATGCTGATTTTTGCAGTGTGCTGTCAGCCTGGTGTTTTGATGCCTGGGCAAGTCTCCAGCAGAAGTTGTACACTGCAAGTCATGCCCAGCTCCCCCAAAACCTGGCAGTGCTCGCACAAGGCTCCCTCGATTTCTGGTCAGGATAAAACTGGCTCAGCTTCCTGTCGATGTCTTGAAACTCCTTCAGGACAAGACCAGGGTACTGGACGGCGACAGTGGAAAACCGGCGGCAACTTTGCAGGCTGCAGTCCTCTTGTGTGTGCGATAACTCTTTAAACAGGTCAGCGAAATTTTCCAGCAAGGCATCCAAGAACCCCGCCGTGCCTCAAACGAGTTGATCTGACCAGTTTGCATCTACATTGCAACGGACTTCGCGCACTGCCGAGAAACTGATATCCAGGTCGCATGCCTTGCCTGTCCTTGGATTTGGGCAGTGGGTAGACTCGGACTTGGACACATGCCCTATCACGCGTGCAGTCTGAAGCGAGCTTATCAATGCGATCCAAGCAGCACACATGGCTTTGACAGGCTCAGCTGCAAACGCCCCACCACCGCGTCAAAGGCACCCTGCGTCCAGTAGGTCTCCTCGTCTTGAACACGGCCGTGCTTGGAAGGAACCCACACGAAGGGATCATCAGCGGGGACTCGAGAGATGATGTCCCAGGCGAGGAAGCGGACTGAGATCGATCCTAAATCCGACCAACCCCACCTCGACACACCTCGCGCTTGATTCGGCTACGGGTACATGGAGCAGAAGAGGGGAGAGGACAATCCCGACTGCCACGGACAATGCGACAAATCCAGCAAAATGAAGCCCAGGCTCGATGCCATATGCCAAAGATTCTGTGATTGAGTGACGCAGCTCGGCGCATTCTCGGAATGGCTTGGGGCGATGCAGACAAAACCTCCTGTGCAGCCTATACACATCTTGCCTGCTGACAATGGCGTGCACTGCAGAGTCAGAGAAAGGGATTCTGGAAGCAAACACTCGGAGCCACATGAAATCCTCCAAGGATCGCTTCAAATTTCTTCGTCCCGCTCTCAGCTGGCGCTCCAATGCATACACGCGCCTTGGAAGCTCGTCTTGCGCTTGTGCCAGCTCTGGGTTGGCTGAGTCTTGGGTAAAACAACAGGTTTCCAAAGTATGTTGCCGCCATAGCTGAAGAGCGAGAGCTTCTCTGCATAAATTGCATTGCGCACCATGATCTGCCCTTGCCAGAGCTGCGAACTGACCTCACAACCACACGGTTCTAGGTAGAGCAGAGAGATAGCAACTCCACCGCAGCCTCCTTTTCAGGAAGTAATTCGGTGACACGCTTTGCATGCGACGCAAGGAGGTCTGCCATGATGTCTCCTGCAGAGCTTTTCGTCTCAGGGCGAGCTCGAAATAACTACTTAGTAACTACTTTCAGCAAAAACACGATGCGACTGCCGTGTTCCGAAGTGCCAAGGAGCTCGCCGCACGCATTACAGCCTGCATCTTGGGAAGGATCGACTGTAGTCCATGCCAGTATGTGGCTTTGTAGATCTTGCTCCAGAACTCGCAAATCGGCGTGCAGACATCGTCGCCTCAAACATGCAGTCGTTTCAGACCCACAGAAATTCCTGCTCAAATCTCCGTCAACCATAGCTTGAGAACCGAGCCGCGTGTTGCACAAGACAGGTCAGTGAAATTGGTGCCAGTGTCCAGAGTATCAGCGATGGCGGCCTGGTTATTTGCAGGAAGTAGTTCTCTGTGTCGGCACCAACCGGTCATGGGGATGAGTGAATGCCCAGCTGTGCGTTCTGCTGACTGGTGCGGCCTTTTCCGTCGAAGTTGTGCTGCAGGCAGCAATGCCACCTGCACAAAGTACAGAATGTGACGAGCGTGATTTCCGTTAACCCCGATTGTTGATACAAAGCACTGAAGTTGCGAGGGCCCGTCGGCTTGTCGTTCAGGGTGTGCAACAGAAGATTTCCAAGTGCAGCCCTGTTCATGCGTGTCTGGTAGAGGGGCCGTGTTAGCGCTGGCATGTGGTGAAGCAGCAAGCTTGCATGAGCAAGAGCTTCAGAGAAATTTGAGGCCCGACCACCCCAACGGGCTATGTTTTTGAGGCTGTGGGATCCTTGCTTCTTATGGCATCACAGACATCGAGTCGTTAATCCATGGGGAGCGTCGGACCGCACGGAATGAAATAGACTCTGCTGAGGAAGGCTTAGGTGCTAAAGAACAGTTTCTTGTCCGGTTTGGCTTCCGGCATGTGTCGTAGCAATTGTTGGCAATTGTCAACCTGAACGGCCTCCACGGCCGAATTCCCGCAAGTAATACAGCAACTTCGCCAAGCCAAAGCTGTGCTGGTCTTGGACGTCCTTCAATCGGGCTGATTCTAGCTGTTGGTCCCCATTCACACAGATCCTTTTGGCACAGGTGACCGCTCTTAACCTTGCGCTGATTCCCCAGCTCAGAGTCTGGAAGTCTGCACTGGGTTCGAGCATCTTGCAAGGCGCCGCCTAGATTGTTCAGAGTTGGCTCGCGCAACATAGCAGACGCTTCCTTTGTACACGAAAGTACCTAGGATCAGCCCAAGTCAACCTCGAGATAAGCAAGGATGGTTGGTGCTTCTGCGAATCAAGCGACAAATTGAACGCAAATCCTGTAGTGTGGCTGATGGTCTGTTCTTGTCGGTACATCAAGAAGCCACAGATGCTGTATGCAACACGAAATGGTGAGTAAGTGCTGTAGCTGGGCAGATCCTCTGCACCCACGCCGTCCCCACTTCGAGGGTTGTCGGCAGCACTGAACCTCCGAAGCCGCCAAGTTGAAAGGTTCTTCCTCGGCCATCGTCTTGCAAACTCTTGCAATGAGAAAAAGCCTCGATGAAAATCTGAACTGCGTGGCACCTAAAGTACAGTCCACTGTATATGCTGGCTAGAGCCACGATATCCTCCAACAAAATGCCACACTGCAACAGAACTGTCATGCTGTAGGGTCGGTTGGCATGATATATTGCAACCTGCTGCTGCCCAGCATCGGATTGCGGACTCCGGAAAAGTCTTGGACTGCATGACACGGCTCCTGATGCTACACCCGAACCCGAAAGCCCTTCGCTTATAAGGCCTGCTGCTTTGGCTTGACTCTTCCACCAATGCATGACCAGCCCTGCCTGTAACGGCACCCCCTCGCACAGGTGATCTCGGCACGGTGTGGCCTGCAGCATAAAACGGCCGTGCTTTCAGCTCTTGGCTGTGCTCTCCTAATCATTGCGGAAGCTGCCATGGACTGGCACCTCGAACCATGCGAACCCATAAATGTTGGTGTCGAACTTTTCGGCTGAGGTCATGCCAAGACCTCTGACTGCATCTGCGCAAAAAGCTGCATGCAACGAGATTTGCCCGGCAAGGTACCATCTTGGGCCAGGCCCCACACAGCGGCAAACACATCATTGAATCCTCAGCAGACGACTACAGCGACTACAGTAAGAAGATACGTTTCGCTGGCGCAAAACAGACTGTCGAGCAGAGATCTCGACAAATCGTGCAGCATCTGGCTTCGGTCTGAACGAAATCGACACGAGTCCACTTTTGCAGGCTGGCTTTTCTCAGTTGAAGTCTAAGTTGAAACGACACACTCACAAGCAGGTCCAAAGATAATTTTGGGCCAAACACCGAAACAAGTGTCCAGAGCAAAACCAAAGCAATAAAGAACAGCTAACTCGACAAAAAAGGTACACTCGAAACGTGCGATGCAGGTGTTGCACTTTCGCCACCGAGCTGCTGCTGCAGTTCTTTGAGGGGACGTGCGAGATTCTTCTTTGATGGGGCGGGGTGTATCATTACCAGTATTGTTTTTGTTATTGTAAATACTACTACTATTATTATGTATATAACCATTATCATTAGTAGAAGTACTAGTAGTGGTAGTGGTATTAATATTGGCACTAGTATTAGAATCATTTTTGATATTAGTCCTAGTCTTGGTATTCGCATTAGTATCCGTGTGAGTATTAGTAAAGCTACTTTTTTGTCACCCACCTGGCACGACGATGTCAGCACTGCGGGGTCTTGACTAGTCACGAGAGTTCCAGAGTTAATCATCTCACATCACCAACAGAACAGCGCGCCAGAACAAGAACCCAATCGTGCGATCCTCATTCAAGAAGTCTGCTCAAGCAAAGTTGCATCTGCTGTGAAAACTGTGAGCCGAGTCAATATGTTGACGAAACTCAAAGCTCAACAGGACATGCAATCAAGTGTGTCCAATTGCGAGCTTTGACGGTCACTTCAAGCTGATGACGGAGGCTACATTGTCGAGGGCTTGCATGTTTGCATTCCGTTTTAGCCACCGAGGATGGAAAAGATTTAACAGGGGTTGGGTGCTACCCTCGGGGTAGGGCCGCAGAGTTATTCGGACAAATTCCTGGGGGCCCAAGGGGTCGACGGAATAAATTTCGACCACCTCAAGGCCTAGGGCCACTTGGAAAAACCATGGTTTGTTGTAATCCGTGGTTCGGGAGCGGGGCCAGGGTCTAGAATAAAATCCAGGGCCCTGGGTTATATAGGTTATAGGAGACGAAGTTCGCAGCACACCGAGCTCACAACGAAGGCATCTGGCATTATTTTTTCAGCTGACTCCCCTCATATCGGCACTTGCCTGTCACCTTCCGAGGCCGTCGCAATGTGTTGCTTATCTTTTAAGTTGTCAATCGGATTCCCCTTGTTCGCTCCAGTTTGATCCGCTTGTTTGCTGCACCACGGGTCCCACGAGTCTCAGAATGGAATCCAGGGCCCTACCCCCTACAGACACACACCACACCCACCCCATCGCGATGCCGCCCCCCACCAACTCTGGAATAAAACCCAGGAAACCCTCCCAACAACTGCTTGAACAAAAACCAGGACCCGAAATAACATTCTGGGCCCTAGGCCCCGATTTCATCCAGGGAGCCTAGAACCCCTATGACTTAAAAGGCTCACCAGCAAATCCCACAACCTACACGGACCCCATTAAGCGTTTGCAAACATGTCAGGTCAAATGAACTACTCAGAAAGGTTGGAACGTTCGGAAGTTCTCTATGCTCCGCTCGGCACTCTCTTGTGCTGTGTCCATCCCGCTTCCAATGTCGCAGGCAGCGAAGGACGACATGTTTACAGCAACTCCTGTTCCACATCTGTCCCAGACTTTCAAACATTTGCTTGGACATTTGGCCAGCAGGACCAACTCCCTTAGTTGGCGCACTTCTCCCAGCGACCATCCGCATAGCTCCGGTTCGGAACGCATTGACATCAGGCCAGCCAGGACCACTTCTCTTAGTTTGTCTACCTCATCCGGTGACCATCTTCGTGATTGGGGTTTGGAGATAGCTCCTGTCAGCGGCATCCTTCTCAGGTGGCGGGCTTGCTCAGTCAGCAGTTTCCACCGAGGGGTTGTGTCATGGACGGGCTTCCAGCAGTCCTGGTCGCCTCTTTGCGTGCTTCTCTTCATGTACTTGTTATAAAAGGGCCTGTCGGTGTGGCTGGTTGGCTGGCTTCATCCAACCAGATTTTGGTGTGTTTCTTCGGCAGCCTCCAGGGCAGAGCCGTCTCCGGGCATTTCGCCGTTGCTAAGTCCAAAGTGCGCTGGTCGTGCGGCCCTGTATGTATCCAGTTCCTGTGCATCAGTAGCCTCGACGGCTTAGAGTCACTCACCACAGTTGCTGCACTCCAGGGTTCCCGTCAAGCTATGATCCTTAAGGTGTCATAGCCACTGGACTGTCAGAAAACAATACGGCGCACAGGTCGATGATTTTCCAGGTCATCTGTACTAGGAGGCTTTCTTGGCAGTTGCATCCCCTGCGTTAGCTTACCCACAGGTATCCACCAGCAGGACATGCGGTCTCTATGGATGGCTCTCGTGTTCGCAGGCATCCAGCGCAGAACATTCATGTTGGTCTTGATATCTCCGAGACGTACTAGTATGAGTATTAGTAGTGGTATTCATACTTTTGTCACCTACTTGGAAATTAGTATTAGTAGAAGTAAGCATTTTTTTAGTTTTAGCATGAATAGAAAATAACCACATTAACAGTAATGTGAGTATTAGGATTGGTATTAATAGGACAATACTAATAGTAATATAAGTGCTAATATTAGTATTGATAGTTATTCCGACACCAAACACAGACAACGCTCGAGAAGCCAGAAAAGATCAAACGAGAAACCCCCTCAAGAACAAGCACGCTTTGTCAAAGCTCTAAACAACGAAGCAATAAGGAAGCTTCGAAGCAAAAGATGCTGATGGGAGACAAGATGCGCTTAACGAGCACATCCGGCCCAAAGTCTTCACTTGTCATCTGCGCCGTGACCGACCTGGAGTCCCAAGGGCCGAAGACTGAAAGAAAAGAGCTGGCCGATTGCGGGCAAAGCACACGTCTAGGTCGCTTGAAGGCTTTACGGAGCCCATGGCGCTGGCTGAGCACTGTGGGCATGCTTGCCTCAGAAGATGTCGCAGAGGCTTACCAGGCACTGAGATGTCTGTGCGGGTTTTCTGCAGCCCCACGCCAGCTCTGTACTAGACTCCCCCTTTCGGAATACTCCGTCATGCTGTCACTTGTCGCATGCTTCCTGCCACACGCTTGGTCATGCTTCTGCGGCACTGCGTGCGTCTACCGCCCGTACCGCGCATGATAAAATGCATTTTGGTGTGCCTGCCTTCATTGTCGACAAACGCCAAGTCTGGACAAGCTTCCCAACAAGCTATCACAGGCGCCAGCACACGTTGCAGCAATAAACCGCTCGGAAGCTGCCGAGCTAGGCCCAGCCCAATCAATGATTCGAAGCGAACTGATCAACATACTGCAGACATGAATGTGCCGCTCTGGCACATGGCCGTAAAGCACAGCAGGTCCGCAACAAACTGCGCACGGAACTTATTGTACTCCATGAGCCTGTCGTAACCGCCGGCTTTGCCTGAAGTCGAGCAAGCATCAAGAAACTGCGAAACGACGCATCATATCGGCATGATCTCAGCGCCACGGTGCCAGACTTGAAGCTGTGCACAAGGTCCTGCCATACCAAAGTGTTCGGCTTCCATTCCTTGCATGGAGACTTCTTTGCTGAGAGGCATCACGATCGGTCAAGACAAGCTTGAAGCATCACCCGAAGAATCTCGGAATTAGATCTTGCAGAATGGACCTGTCAGAAGGTTTTGATCAACAGAACGGATCTGCCAGAATGCTAAGCTGGGATATGCGAGCCTGGCCGGTGAGATCTCAGTACTCATAACATCAGAGTTTGCTTGGCCGTCAGGATGCAACCGTCCCTCATCCCAGCTTCCAGACTTGCCTGCCCAGGTACACTTGGAATCTGGATTCCAGTACGCATCCAGGCATCGAGCGTGGCCTGCGAGTCCCACAGGCAAGGACATACATGTGGACATGCATGTATACATACATGCATTCTTAGCACTCGCACTCGACGACATAAGGCGAGGTTTGGGACAACTACAGCAACATGCCCTCTCATCGCGATCCAACAAACTTCAGCGTACCTAAAGCACATTGACCTAAAGCACATTGCCCAAAGTTACAGTGCCTCAGTACATACACACGTCCATACATACACACGTCCATACATACACATGCATACCTACATACCTACATACCTACATACACACATACATACACACATACATACAAACATACATACATACATACATACATACATACATACAATGGCCATGGACTGCATGCTGCGCTCAACTGTGGGACATCCGCTGGAATTCATACTAAACCAAAGGGCTGACCCGAGCATTCTGAGGAATCCAAGCAGAAGAGTACATGAAGCATGCTTCAGGGATATGGTCTGAGCCTTATCAGGAGTGTGGACCATCCCATCTGCATCGGTGGCATGGAAGTGAATACAAATATCCTCAGCTCAGCGGATACTCATCACCGTTCGAAATACACCGGACGACCCAACTGGTCCATGCCAGTGTCCCAGCACAACCTCCCTCCCGAAAGACGGCGTGCGGCTTGTGAACACCTACAAGCAGTTCCCCCTGGTCAGGCATCCGTCGAGGAGAAGCTGGCGTCTTTCTCAGTCACGGCACGAATCGCGATACCTGAGCAAGACACGCTTCACGTGGAGGAATGGGGTCTGGGAGGGAGGGGGTCTTGGATAGGGTTTTGAAAACCTGCTTGGGACTACGAACACGCGCACTCGGACACTACAATCCTTCTGTGCTTCCACAAAAGTGGACTCCCTCTTTAGTTTGCTCCTGTTTCGTCCATTTTTTCCTCCCTGTCACAGGAAACGAAGGCCACCGCATAATCGGATGATGTGATCAGCTGAACCCCGGAAAATTCCCGAATTCCACATGCGATTAATCTTGTCTTTTTCTCTCGGAGCCCACCTAGTTGGACCAGGACCACAGTTAATGGTGTCTGTCCACTGTCTGGATAGGGGGGCAACTTGAGCTTGTAGGTTGGAACGAAGTCTGCATTGGTTGTATCAAATCTAGACAAAAGGGGTGTGGGAAGAGATGTTATTAGGTTCGCATCGGGATCGGGGGTTTGAGGATTTGGGGAGACACTGTTCGGCTGGTAGGGGGCAGTGGGGAGGCATCCCAAATACTGCGGCTTGAAGACGAAGCCTTCCCCTTCCCAACGTTCTCTCGGGATACGAGAAGGTGCAGACTGCAAATTAAAGCACGGACCACTGCCCACTGCAACGCAATGAAGGTGTTGCCCGTACAGTCCATGGATGCCTCTTCACCGGTGAAACCGATTTGTGTTGGAACCTCTCAATGGGCGCAGCGACATCCCAATCACATGCTATGAAGGACTCGGGCGACGCATCATCGATGGCACTGAATATGATTGGCGATAGGATGACCCGCTTGAACTGAGAAATCTCGGACGCACCCACACGGTTCCTCCGAGCGACAAACATCAGTAGTGAAGCACGATAATGCCACAAAAGTATTTCGCAAACCTCGCCAGTATGGCATCATGCTGGCAGTTCCTCGAGCCGGATGCGACGGAGAAAAACCGTAGTCAGTCCTGTTTACAAGACACGCCATCACACACAAAGTAAAGGTTCACACACTGAGGCAGCAGCTCGACCTTGGAACGCACCATAAATGCCACACCTTCGGAAGCTGGAATGATCGGGCAGCGTCCAGGTGCTCTCTTGACACTTATGCGATCCATGCCAATGGCCCGGAGCTAGCCACCAATGCTACAGCCGGCAGCAGCCCTGCATCTCTCTCGGCCCTCACGTTCTTCTTGAGTTCTGCAGGGCGAAAGATCTGGAGGGTTAGGCATGGGGAGGCGGGTTCCAGAAAAACACGTGGCATGCACCCAGCCGCCTTGCTTGCTCTTCTTCCGCTCAGTCGACACAAAGCACGCCACTCTTCTTGCTTGGCTCTTTTCCGTTTTGTGGGGCCAAACCGGCTCAAGCCTACTTGCTCTTGCTTGCGAGGGGCTTAACTGCCTAACCCCTTAACCCGAAGGCATACCCTCATGGCTGAAGTGGGCTTGAGTCTTGGGGCTCTCTCTGTCTCTTGCTCTTCTTCCCGTTCGCGGCAGACCCGAGCAGACACTGGCTGCTGGTCCCTCTTGCAGGGCGCCCGACAAATTGACGGGTTCAGGTTGGACCATGGCAATCGCAGAGCTCTCTCCGGACGCAGCCCGTGCCTTCAATCAGCTCCAGAACTCAGAAAACGCCAGGGCAGGCGTGTGTCAGCAAGGCCCGGGCGATGCCACCACATCCCCTTCCACGCGCAGTGCCGGGGAGGTTGTGTGTGGGTCAAGGAACAGGATGCTGTCTTCACCGTGGGTGGCCTCGGTCAGGCATGAGAAGCACGCATATCGAAACAGGAGAACACCCTCCGCACAAGCCGAATCTCCTCCCCCTCTGCTGCTACCAGTCGCACCACTGCAAACATTCCAAATCAGCTGCTTCAGCGTCCCCGGCATACACGATCTGTCAACAGCCGAGACACCACGAAGAAGTGCGCAGACGAGGAGCTGTTGCCACTCGCCAAGCCCTTTACAGGGAGGTCATCGCTGCACTAAGCGGGCAGCTAGGCCCGCGGCATGTCGTCCCGCCTGGAACTCGGGGAGCTGGAAGCAGCTTTCCAAACCTGGTGGGAGGACTGCCCACTCTCTCTCGGATTCTTTTGCTCGGGCTTTTTTTAATCTCGACCTTTGAATGTCCTGGGACAGCACCGAGAGCTCTGGGCTCAAGGAGCCTTCTGTATAAGGGAGCTTCCCACAATCACCCCACACCCTTCCCCGTTCCTGCGCTCCGGGACTCCGAAAGCCTTCCCGTATCCTGTCAAGCGAGCTCGAAAAGCCCCCAGCGGAATGTGTAAACTGTTTCTCCACCCCCACCCCATGACTTCAAGCAGACTGCTCCTTTCACATGGTGTTGTGTTTGATACAATACCATCTAGATGCAAGCAATGGCCAGACCCAAACCCTACTCGGATAGCTCGGGGATGGGTGGCGGAGCCTGAAATCACAAAGGGCGAACTGGTTCTCAAGCACCCCAAGATCTGATGAAGAGATGATGGGTGGCACGCCCCCGAAAAGTGCTGGGTACTTTAAAGGGATAACTGCTTCACCAGTGAAGTTGTGATATTAGATCATGAGTGGCAACGGCAAACCCCAAGCCCGAAACATAAAACGACGATGATGGGTAGCAAACCGGCGTTAGCCTGCGTGCTGAACCATAAACGAGGTGACTGGGTCCCCATAACCCGTGCCTTTCGGTATGTAACTCAGACCAGAAAATAAGAAAGCCGAAAATACGGGACCCATCTTCTAGGTTGAGACAAAGAGAGAACGAGAAGGAACAAACAACGAGCCAGTTGCAAAGTGGGCGTCGCCGCGGTTTAATAAGATGTGCATAAATACGGTGCAGGCACACTGACATCACGATGCGATATGGAGACATACATGATCTAATAAATTTGCTGTGATCTTGCAAGGACCACAAGTAAGACGCACATTCTGGAGGGACGGCTGTGGACCTGCAGGACCGGTGGAGTTTTTGAGGGCAAAGATGTGGATTTAAGCAAGTTTCGTACTATTTTACACTACCTATGAGACCTGCACGATCTGCCTAGAAACCGTCACTCTTCTGCCCCGGACGAAACATGAGGGACAGAGAACCGACATCCCGCGAATAGAGAGACTGCAAAGCCTGGTGGCCTGGTAGGCAAGTTTTCACCTGGCCTGAGGTACATGTTCACGAGACGAAGACCACTTCACCCAGAGTTCTGTTCCCAAAAAACATGCAAAGCTGCGACACTGTGTGTGCATTTTTCGACGCAGCTCAACCATCATCGTCATGCTCGCCTTCTCGGTACTCTTCCAGATTGAACTCGTCCAGCCCCAGTCGTCGGCACACGAACAAAATCACCTCGGCACTACATCTTTTTGAGGAGTGGCTGCAGCGCCACATCCAAGAACGATTTTCGTTTGCTTGTACTTGCTTGCATCAGCTTGCTTCGGACATGTGGTTGGGGCCGAGGGCCGTGCCGACGAGCTACCACTGTCGAACTGCTCAATCCTCGGCGCCAAAGGAAAATGATCGTCGGAAATAACACCCTCTTTTACGTTATATACATGCTATATCAGCATGCCCGAAGGTTCAGCAGGTGAGATTTCCACAGGGTTTGCATCCGCTCCTTTTCCAAGCCCTTCGAAGGAAATCCTTGTGCTGTCATTAGCCTCGATTGCTTGTCCTTTGCTGGAACTCAACACAATGTCTCCTCTTGGCCCATGACACATTGGCTTTATAGATAGGTCCGTCCTTGGCATGACACAGCATGCGAAGCTGGCTTCTGAGCTGCGCGAAGCTCTGCTGCCGCGGTACAACGAACACGGCGCAGCCCACGCCTCTCAGGAACTCGGGGGCGCCCGAAGCCTCCAGCGGACTCCAGCGTCTTTTGACTCTGTCAACACCTCTCTTTTAAGCAGTGCATGCGACGCCGGCCTTGGACTTCAAGTCCTGCGGGCACAGAAGGCAGAGACGAGGAGATAGGAACCGTAGGAACCGTAAGACCGCACTTCTTGACGATGAGGTTCCGTTCGCTTGCGCATCCACGCTCATCCATCCTAATTGGTCCTAATTCGCCTTGCGATCCGCTTCAAGTGTTTCGGCCACGCCTTGGGAAAACTCCACGGCACATGGTGACGTCCTTTTGTTTGCGAGCTATCCTCTTCAACCTGCTTGCGTGCCGTCCACCATTGACAACGCGCCGAACAACCACCGACCGCGTCACCATACCCTGGACGCTAGCGCTTCAACATGAGGACGACACCGGCTACAGCATAATTTCGAACTCCCTTACACCAACACCCATGTGCAGCAGGAACCTCGGGGATTAGAGCATTGTAGGTCAGGCAACTGATCCCATCCTGGAACAAGTGGCCAACTGCCTGTGCCGCAGATGTTGGGCCGAACCTTGGCATGACTTGGCCACAAGCAAGGCAGCCAGCACTTTCCTGGCCACTCTGGCTATCGTGCTCAAGGACCCGAGCCAAGCAGAGGGCTCCTGCACCCCGCAGAGATGCGGACAAGCTCCCAGACGCTTGAGCAAGAGTACTGTAGCGACACAAAGGCGCACTGCGCGTGTCCTTTCCCAGGACCTGCTGTCCTGTCTCGACGAGCCGATGCCTCCGTGCTAGGTCTTTCACATTGAAGCTGCTTCCGCACAAAACGCTGGACGTGCCAATTCAAAACCGCATCCGAGACACAGCGAAAACGGCGCAGCCGGTGTGTCCAAGAAGCAGCTGACAATGCGCAGGTACAAGGAGCCTCGCATGCTTGCAAGATGTAGACTGCACCGGAAATGTCGGCAAGAACTTGAGTGATGGTTCGCACCAAAATTCAACTAAGTGCTGAAGAACCCGCCTTTTGAGAGGTCTTCTGCCTGGGACAAGATTGGGGTTCACTCGCTCAGTCGCCCACTGCCGTGATCAGGTGGGCCGGCAAACACCCCAGCCTCGTTGAATCGCCACGCTCGGCCTGTCCGAAAGATTGCCAGCACCAGGCTGCATTGTGGCCACCCACACATACACTGACAGTCCGGAATTCAATGCTTCGTCTTGGCAACGAGGGCCCTTGAACATCTGCATGAAGTATCACTGTATCACGATGAAAGATCAAGTTCAGGAATGTACTCGTACTGCACACATGACCAACGATAGATGGATCGCAGCGTGGGAAGTGCGAGTGTGAAAAACCCACCTATGTCGTGACAAAGGTTCTGCCCCATGATGTCCAATTGTTACAACATCTTCAAGCATGCTCATGGTGGAGCAGGAGACATGTTGGGCGCTTGAAGCCGGGGTTGCAATGTAGTGGATACCTGATGCGATTGTCATCACGTCGCAGGTTACCCGAATCAACGACTCCCTCTCCGACAGGACACGTTTGCCGCCCTCCCCTGCATGTGGGGTTGTTTTATGGATGTTGCATATGTTAATGTGTCCGCTGTAACGTAACTGCAAGCCAAAGCCCGTGAATTGTTTGAAATCACAGTCAGATGCCGACCCTTGTTGCTGTCACCTGAGCTCGCTCATTTCCTGAAAACTTGGTGTGGCAAAGGTGCACATGGCGCACTGTGACTTTGGCAGGTACCGAATCAGTCGTCGATAATCCCATCTACTCAAGCTTCGCAGGGTTGTTGCGCGGCTAGGAGCAACAGAGCCGCACCGCCTGCCGTTGACATCAAATCAAGGCCAACTCCTTCAGCTTAGAACCTGGCAACCCTTCAGAAAGTCTACTTTCCACTTCATGCCTCAGCGATGCATGCGTCGCATCTCCGACACTCGGTCATGCTCCCCGCTTTTGGTCAACAGTTCGCTCCTGATGCTTCCCGCTTCATGAGTAGCATGCGACGGCCGTTCTTACCGATTGGCGATGAATGACCCCTCGGTGGCGGCAGCGATAGATGGCCACTGCACAGAACGTGCCATCGATCAACACTGCCACTCCTGTGCCGAAAAGTCGGGTAGATTTCTACTAAAACCTCCAAATGTGGGCGAATTAAACGAAAACGTCGCGCCATCCAAATGCTCGAAATTCTTGGTGTGAAACCTGAAAACGAGAAAAATGAATTGCCTGCAGACTGTCGCCGGGGCAGAACAGTGGCGTCACAGGGCTGCACAACCGTCATGGAACCCTGCACTTGCCGCACTGAGGGAGACAACGGGCAGGCCCTGCGTGTGCTGCGGACTCGGCTATCGCCGGGAAGATATCAACTTTACAGTATTATTTGCGGTATAGATGCCGGGACCGGTGGTAGGGTTGGAGAGGCGTCTCGAGCAGCCTATGTTAGGACAGGCCTGCCACTAGCCCATACTAGGCCACTAGGCCAGAGTCGGGGTAGGACTGGCGGTTGGCTCGGGAGGCCTCGGAGACTCTTCGGCACATGTCGGGTTTACAGGTCCGTGTTGTGTGCTACAGCTAGACGGCCGAAAACTACAGCAACTAACGACAAGCTGCTCAAAGCAAAAACGACTCGGCTACGTCACAACAGCTGTAAAGGCTTGCTGAGAGCAGTCCCCGTCAGAGGAGTGGGACGACCAAACCTTTTGACGCAGGAGTGGCGGCTAAAACAGCGTCCACCTGCTGTTCTCACCACACCGCGGCGGTAGGTGCCTCTGGCACTGTTCTCACCACACGGCGGCGGGGTGAGGCGGGAGAAAAAATTGCACTCCCTTGGCGATGCGAAGTTCGTTGTCACAAACTTGGCGAGCCATTGCCAACTCAGCTCGCCGACTCCAGCCTGAGCTTAAATGCAAAGCGATGGGAATTCTCCCTCCTCGCCGGAGCCATCCGGAGCCTAACCTGGTTCAGCTTCTGAAAGGAATGTGTCGACTGCAAGCGGCACAGGTTGTTCATGAGGTTGGAGGTTCGCCGTGTCTTGACACCATTTGGTGCGGTTGTGACTTCCGCGACGGCCGCGAGCAGAAAGCCACCCTGCATGGTCTGCATGTTGTCGGACTCGGATGTCCGACGTGGCTTTATTGAGGTCACATCGTACATGCCGTGAAGGCCGAATATAGGAGCGGCCGCGAAGGCCCAGCGTTTGGCAACCGATGGCTGTGCGAACCTGAGACCTGAAGGTGCGGGACCGCGAGGGGTACTGGTAGCAGCAACGTCTTGCCACGCGTGGGCCTTTGCACGTTCCTGCTGGCGGCAGCCTGCATGGATGCTGCAAGCTGTTCAGCATCCAGTGTCCGTCGTCGGCTTTGTGACCTGACCTAGACCCGGTGCGGCTCGCAATGGTTCCCGGCGGACCCGGCCATGGAGTCCGAGCGAACCCGTCGATCCGGGCCGATGTTTTTAGCCCCGGTCGTGAGGATCTGGGCATCTTCTGCTGCTTGGGCTCCTCTGCATCCGGGACCACGGCCTGTGGCACTCGTCCAAACGGCGCTGCAGGGTCTTCCGTGGAGGTGCTAAACCGGCGCGCAAATTGGAGGGTGTGGTACAGGAACCATCATAGGCCAAGAAGTCAAGCTGTGCTTGCATTGGCGTGCGCAGAAGCCACTACAGGGGCCGAGACAGGCTCCCGTTCGGGATTCGTACAGAATGGTTGTGAGGTCGGCACGCTTGTCAAAAAAACTCTCGAGCTGACAAAGCTATGGCAGCTTGCCCTTGGGAAACGATTTAATAGTAACAGGAGGAGAGACCGTAGAACATTGCAAGTCATTGCGAACAAGCAAACAATGCAACATCACAAGGTGAAACACCCAAGCACCTGAAACAAGAACTGCACAAATTGCACTGACATGATGCGCTCCCGACTTGATTGTAACCCAGGGTTGGGGTCCCTGTTCGTGCAAGCGCCGAAGCCCACTTTGGGCACACGTCTCATCCTACTGCAAAGAACTGGAGGGGTGATACTTGGGGTTCTGCAAATTTCTGCAAAAGCCTGTCCCACTCATCCGCTATCGCGGGTTCGGGCCCCTGTGCTCTGGCCCCGTGTTGGGCATAATTAACGAGAACGGATACACACTTGCAACGAGCGACCGGCAAGACCAAACGACAAACTGGAGAAGAGGGCCACGAACGCGAGGGCAAACAACGGAATCAGAGTCGGTATAACTCGGTCGTTGTTGCGTGCGCACTGCGCAGTATGGATGGCACCCTCTGCATTACACTGGCCTACACACAGACACGCCTTTGTTGTAATACCTTGACCGACCTCATTGAACTCCGGCATGTCCCTGCATAAGCAATAACTCGGCCATCTGCGAGCAGCTTCGAACCGTGAAAAAACACTCTAATTACTGAGGAATCACACTTGCAACTTGTTACGTAGACACACTCGGACACGTCGGTTGCTATATTGCCTAAGCATGGACCTAAATCTGACCTTGTACAACACCGCAGCCACCTTGCTGGCACTACTGCCTCTGAATCAATCATTTGCGCCGTGTTGGGGGGGGGACCTCCCCCTCGTTACTGTTTTGTCTTGGACACAATATTGACCTTGTTCACTACTGCATAGGTGAATTGGTAAACGAACACATGCAAGCCACAAAGCTAGCTTTCGTGCATTACAAGTCGACGTTCAGACTGCAGCAACGTACATGAAAATTACATGCATGCAAGCACGGTATGGTCACCAGCTGGAGTAACTCTCCCCAGGTGCACCATGCAGGTACTTTTGCATTGCAAGGCACATTCTACAAAGTGTGACACGATGTGGGTGCCATGCAGTGCTTGGGAATGACTCGTCCATAAACGAGGACAGTACACTCCGCACACACACACACACACAGGCCTAGGCCCAAGGTGATGAAGCACTGTGCCAACATCATCTGCGTGACCTCGGTGCGCATTGAAAGAGTGCGGCAATATACAAGACCGTTCCACTTTCGAGGTGCCCGGCACGCAGCATGCAGCCCCAGCCTAGGGTGGGTGTTCTTTAAACAGAACGCCCTTGCTGAACACGACCTAACTAGTGCCCACGGCCTGAATCCGAGCTTTTCGTTCCTCCCCCTGCCAGCTGCAAAGGGGGCCTGGAGAGTTAAGAACATCGACAGGCGAAATCGCAAAAGGCCATGCTCACCAGAATGAGCAAAAAGAACTAGGGCACAAGCTCTAGACCAGAACGGTAGGTCAGGAGAACTCGCGAACGGAAGTCCTGTCAAACCGAGAGACACTGTCTTCGGCACATGCAAAGTTTGGGCTTCGTGCCGAAAGACCGGCACCTCCATGAAGGCCTCGCGCTGTGCGTCGTCTGATGCATCGTAGGTGATGCCAAAACAAACCACCTTGCGGCATGGATGGCCAGCAGAGCATGGGACATTGGTGGAACCAATAGCAATTTGCGCACCTTAGCTGACGGGGTGAAGGGCATCCATTTGCGGAGCTCGTCAATCATCCGGTGAAGCCTTCAACAAGGGCACAAAGACTTGACAGTACTCTATGGCTGTGATCTCACCGTGTAAGTCGGCGATCCGTGCCCCGCACTGCTTCATGTCGCCCGCAGCAGAGGCACAGAGACCCTTCGAAACTGCTCGGGCCAATTGCCGACACGCGGCGATCACCGATGCAGTCTACCCTTTTGCGCAACAGGCTTTCCACTTCGCCCACAATTGCCCTGAAACCACAACCGCCAAACATGGAAGATTAACCTGGCCCCCAGGGTGTCGTTGGCAAGCCTGTCAAGACTGCCTTCATGACGCATGGATCTTTATACAACGCTTCTGTGTTGCTGTTCCCTGCTTTTCTCAGGGTGTTGCTCTGAGGTAGGCAACGCAGCATTGCACAGTCAGATCCAACAGGCAGTAACTTACCGGATGCCATGAACGAAAAACAGCCCTCGCACAGTAGTGTGTTTGTCGGTGCCTGCCTCCTTTCCCTCATCTGTGTCGAACAAACTAGCAAATTTGGGACCAGGATGGACCAGGAACTGTGCCCAGGTCGCCGAACGGTGCGGGAGGCGATGATAGATGTCAAAAGCATCGGAGGACTGAAACGAAGCACTGCCCCCGCCGCGATTTCTCCCAGGCCTGATTCATGAATGAAAGTGTACAAGAAAATGAGTGATTGCATGGAACGAAGACAGCTGATAAGCGGATAAAGGCATATTTGCAGCATCACCAACCGGGTCGAGAGTAGAATTCGGCGGTTTGTAAGGCGTCCTGCTCCCAATACGAAGCATTGAAAAGGGCGCTGTAGACTGCAGTAGGTAGGCAGCGAACCTGCTTACGACACGAAGCACTGCAAATGCCCCTGTTACACGGCGCGGCTTCGACTCGCCAACGGCGCGGTTTTGAGGTTTCGGATTGAACTTTTTTTCGCCGCTGGCAAGCAAGCTTATTTGTCAGAGTCACGGACTGCGTTTCACACAGTGCAACATTGGAGAGTTGCACAGTAAAGCGCATGCCGTCACAAGTCTGGCATAAAGGTGTCCTCGAGTTCTTATGTTGGCATCGCTTTGGAATCGCCATCATATATATCTGAACGCAGCGTCACGAATCCAATGGCAGGAGCCGGCCGTTGATCTCGTCGAAAGACAGGATGCCACTCCCATCCCTCGGCATGACAACTCCTTCAATGCTTGGAGGTAGGCTGCTGGAGAGCCACACAGCCAAGGAGCTGGTCCAGTTCCTCAAACAAGGCGTCGATGTTCTCGAGTGCTTCTGCTTTGACCAACCCTTGTCTCACAAGCATATACCTGAGTAGGGGTTGACATCAGCATTATCGGAAATCAAAATTGGCACAGATTCCAATATCGAATGAATGATCCCGACCTCTTCACCTACATTGCGTGATGACGACACCGCTGGCACTCCAAATCGCAGCGCATGAACTTTGAGGGCTTTTCAGGAACTCTTGTAAGAGTCGACTCCACCATCACGACCGTAGAACACTTATGTTGGACACTCAACTGAGCCGCCGCAAGAACTCATGGCGCCTGACCTTACCAGAGCCATCTCCTTGGCTGTCTGAAAAATATACTCCGCGCTGCCAATGATAGGGAAGTTCAACATGTCTAAAGGGCCGCCAGGATTGGCGACTTGATGCTTGAAGCACATCTCCAATAGAGAGGACGTGCTTCTTGCCTCCAGGAAACGGTCCATTTTGTTGAACGTATCCCGAGAAACCAGGACTCCTGACAAAAGCTTCAGATGCGTTGCACAAGCTTTCGAACAAACGGGCCCTCTAAGCGAGATTGCACCGGCATTTGGTCGTGTCGAGCTTCCATGCTGGACCGGAAAGGATCCACAGCGAAGGCAATGCAAACTCGAAAACTTGGAAGACGGAAAGTTGAAATAATTGAGCCGTGGAGCTTCTCTTATGGAACCTCCTCCAGTCAGTCAATATGGTGGACACCTTGAGTGTAAGCACAGTCACAACAGCTCCAGCAGCAGGGGCAACGACATCGTTGCATCACACATCCTGCTGAATGTCAGCGACTCTAGGTTATGTGCCAGGTCTTTCCAAAGACAGTCCCTGGGAGTGTGGCAATGCCACCTACACCCACTCTTGGTGCATTCTCTGGACAAGCTCTAGTTCAATACTTACACCAAAGCAATTTATGCCGGCGACGTGGCAAGAAAAATGCAAGCGAAAGTGTGGCAGGAGCACGATTCACAATCGGAAATGCGCACGGCACTGTAGCGAGAGCATGATGTGACGAGGCGAAATTTCAGAGGCGGACGCGCAGGGGCTGTGACGGGCGCGACGATGTGAGAAGTGTGGAGAAATCTGGCGAGGCAATTGCACGACCGAACCTTTTAGCTTTCGGAAGCACTTAGGAAGTTGGAGAGTGCCAAAGATTCTCTGTCAAAATGACACCAACAACCTCGCCGGATCCAGGGCCGGCAGGCAAAAGGGGACCTGCACGCCTCGCCGGAAGACGACATCCACTTTGCTTTCTCACTTTGCTCCGACCACAAAAACCTGCTGTTACCACGGTGCTTGAGACAGAAAAATAGCACGGGGATGGCACTGAGTAATTGGATGCATAAGCAGAACCTCGAATCCGACAACACATGTCTGATGTCGTCCATCCGTGCTGCCAATAATTTCACGTCTAGGTGTGCGCATGAAGCGAAGGCAGGACCATGCAGTGTTGCAGGTCAATGATAAGGCAATTCAGTGGCAAGGCATTTCCGCAAATCGCTCGGCATTACCTGACGGGAAGATCCAAAACCGATTCACAAGCTAAGCTCCTCACGTCTCACCACAGCATCAACGTTTCGAGTGTTGCGATGTGCTGCGATGTGTTATGCGATTGCTCAGGAAGCACGAGCTGTAAAGGGTCCTATTGACAAGACAGTCATGGCCAGAACCCGGGAATTCTGACGCTCCCAACCAGTTGTCAAGTCGGTAAACATTTGCACGGGTTGTCACCAGCGTGGCTTGCATAGCCACCTGCAACGCTGACTTGTCTGGTTGCTGGGTCTGTTGCTGGTTCTGCTACGACGACGGGGCTCCAGTCGCGCGACACACGGCGCTGCCGCTTGACATTGGGCGATCTCAGCAAGACCTAGTCGTGGTTGCAGCTGAGCATCGTGGCCCACCATCGTGCCAAAGGCAATAATACCAAGGATCATCCATACTGAGCCAAAGATCCTGCCGAATAGCAAGCTCCGTCTCTGTTGTTGAACACACGCAATCAATCTCTGCGCAATCCGCAAATGACGTGTGCCTTCCCAGTCTCGACTTCGGGCTGAAGTCTCCAAAGCCCACAGTGGAAAACGTTATGACTCCCATGTAGAATGCCTGCCGGATGCTCAAGTGAGCACCGCCAGTTGCAAGGCATTGATCACCCTCTTCGCACCCATCAATTCGACTGGCCCCATATGAACACGAGCATCCTTCGTAAATCGTAAAGAATGCGGCCCAAACGGCAAGGAAGAAGAGGTAAACCATGGTGGCACTCGCCAGGTCCTTGACGGATCTGCTCCATGAGCACCTGCAGCCTAGGTCATCCTGACTGACACTCCTAGCTATGTTCGTCCTCATCGCAACCAGGGACTCACCCAACCGGTCTTCTGAAGCTTCCAGGAAGGACTCGATCAGGCCATTTAAAATGCTAGCAACCAGGACCGTGCCTAGCAAAACATAGAATGTCAGGAACAGCTCGCCGCTCGCAGTTGGAGCAATGTCCCCGTAGCCGACCGTCGTGATAATCTGGACAATGACATAGAAGGACGTCACGAAACTCCAATTTTCGTAGAATGACATCACGCTCATGCCAAGCGCCATGTATACCAAAAGAGCGATAATGTTCACTGTCTTCGGATGTCGCACGTACAGCGGAAGATCCACTCCTCGGGCCGTCGAGTCCTGCAACGCACAGGGAGTGGTTCAGGGGTTTTTCCCACCCGCCCGGCTGACCAAGTCGAACTGCAACCGAAGAAAGAAGACTCCAAGGTAAAGCACACTCTCCGAAGGATCCACGCCAAAAACAAGTCAACAACCAGGAGCGCATGCAGAGAGTGTAGTCGCGTCGGAAGCCGAAAGCGACTCGAATCGAGGAAAAGGGCACCTACTGTACTATCCCGAACACAGCCCGCAAAACCCCGGAGGCATGTAGTAGTAGTAGTAGTAGTAGTAGTCGTAGTAGTAGTAGTAGTAGTATTAATAGTATTTGCATTGCACACGTCTCACCGATCCGATGATTCGACGAAAGGCAGGCATAGCCCGGCAGCCCAGTGGCTGCATCCTGCGATTGAGGACCCCTACGGCATAACATCTACTGACTGCTCCAAGCAAGAAGCTTGATCACATCCATCTAACGTCCGAGCTTTCCTCCTCAATCACCAAAATTGTGTCGCTGTCGTCTAAGCAGGCCCAAAACTGACTCGGGTTCAGTCCATCATCTGGAAATCCAGCTGCCCACCTGCCCTCTTTCGAGAGGAGGCGAGCGAGCTAGGAATCCCTGCAGCCTCCACGCCAACATCGCGTCCCCTTTCAGAGCCCCGATGATTCGGCATACTTCCAGCCACACCTGTTGACATGCTTGCACTTCCCTGCTCTGAGCCAGTGCCTGCTTGCACATCCGGTGCCTCCAGATCAATGACCTCCACCCGGGCCCCAACGCGGGTGGAGTCATCACGGAGTGCACCAGTCGTCGCATCTCCAGTGGGCTGGTGCAGACTTGGCTGTGCTCGCTGCACATGCCTCGCCTGCCGGTGTGCACACTGAATCGTATGCTGCTGTCCTCCCGTCCTCTTGCACAAAGAGCAGCAACTGATGTGCCCTGGGCCAGCCATGTGCACGCAGCCCTCCGTGATGCACCTGCTGGGTCCCATCCTTTCACCTGCCCAATGACCATGCTGACATCGGCGAGTATGACGACCAAGGGGGCAGGCTGAGCAACACTTGGAATGTCCTGCCGTGTGTATAGCCCTTCCACACCCCGGCACCTGACAAATCCGATGTTGTGTTGCACCGGAAGCTGCGCCAACCTCTGCCGCCATGGATGCCGCCCGATTGGCCATGAGCACCTGTCCAATCAACGGCGTAGGTAGGTGCATTCAGGGCATTAGAGGCAGAGGTTGAAGGGTGGCAGCGCAAGACTTTTTAGGTCATGCGACTCCTGGCATCGATCTGGCACTCCTCTAGGCATACCTACCACTATTATACTGGGGGGAAGTGTCCTAACCCCTAAGGGGAACCGGATGGGTAGTAGGCAGTCGTCTTCCTGGTGCAGCAGGTGTCAAAGGGCTACGCTGAGAGGCAGAAACCTAGCTCTTCGAGAAGGAGTTTCTCCTCAGTTTTGAGGTGTTTTACCGTACCTATGCAGTAGGCCGCCAACGTGACTCGGTTGGTCAGCGACCAATCACATGTACAGTGAGTCATGGCATGGGCGGGAAACAGCAGGCTCTGCATGGACAGCCTGATTATCCTCCCACAACGCATGCCCACCTCTGTGTCATTGTAGCATTGGCCCTGGCCATCTTCTAGCCACAGTTCACCTCCCTCATTGTGAGTGAGGAGGGTGAGCAGACTGCCGGTCGGCGCATTCCCCTGATCACGATGCGGTGGTGTACGCGTGTCCAGATTCAAAGCGAAGGTTGTCCAAACAAGTTGAGGACAAAGATGATTAATGAATCTATTCACCAACCTGCAAAAGGACGGATGAGCTCGCGTGCCACTGCATATGCCACAATGCGGGCCCTTGCTATACGCCCCCATGGTGACATTGGCTTTGCGCTCGCCACTGAAGGCATGTCGGCCGGCTTGCCAATCCAGGACAGCAACGGCTTGCCTGACCGCACCGCATAGTGTGGCACTGCCATCCGACACAAAGTGCCACGCCAATGTCTCAGCTTCAGGGCTCTGTGGCCCGGGCTCCCCGATTGGCTCTGGCATGTAAGTGGTCAGGTAGCGCCGCAGGTGGCGGTTGAGTGATTGAGCGTAGCTCATGAAAACCTCTCGGCTGTCTGGCTCCAAAACTTGCCCTGCCCAACAGATGATATCATTGCGCACCGCCAAGCCCATAGCCGGAGGCAGCGTTCCGTGACCCTGCTCTCTGAGCAAGCTTGTGGCTGCGTGGAGCAGCAATGCCTCCTCCAGGGCATCTGTGTACACATCAGGCGGATACGGCAGGAGTTGAGCCATGCTGAGCTGGAGATGCATTGCAGACAGTGCCGCAACTGGGTGCCCTGCATGGTAGTAAGGGATCGGGTAGGTCAGAAGTCGAGTGGGAGGCCACTATGTGCACCTGCGTCCAGGAGAGGCGATCCTCGCAGCTGCTGCCCACACTGAGAAGAAAAGCTGCAGTATCCGACTGGCCAGTTGGAGAGCATGGGCACATGTGCACGGTACAGCAACACAAACGGTAACACAAGAAAGCTCGAAGGTATGTGGGATGTGTCGGCAGACACTGAACACTAACGGAATAGATTTTGTCAAACTGCAGGCCGGTGATAACATCACATCGGATGCCGGCTCGTCACGTATGCACTTGCTGTGTTTGGCCCACCTGACTGTAACCGCAGCCGCCAGCAACAAACTAACTGCAACTGCTGTACATGGTGTCAGGCAGGTGGGCATGGCTCTTAATTGGAACGAATGAGGCCTATCAAGTAGCTGTTGGCAGCCACTATCTGAAGGTCTCGGGGGCTAGCTTTACGAGGGGTCTTATTGTCATTACAAATGTAATAGTGCTGCTCGGATTGCATCGTGTTGTTTGGCACACTAATGGCACATTGATAATGACCCGAGTCAACCCTGTCACCTAGATGAAAAATCTGAAAGGCAACTCGAAAAGCCTCATGGCGGACACTCAGTCCCTCAGCATTCTCATACACCGGCACTGCGACTGTTTCGCCTGGCTTCACATAAACTGGGTTCTGGTTTTTGTGGGCCCTATTATGCTCGTAGCTGTATCTGACCAGTCGAAAAAGCAGGAGTCCCGAGTGGCTGTGCAGGGCATGCACAGCATATTGCGTATGCCAGCTCGCAATCAGCTCAGGAAGTGTAGCCCCGGTCGGGTGCAGCAGCACCGGCGTGTGCAGCAAGCCTGAGTCGACGACACGATTTGGGTGCGACAACCTCGCTTGCCAGCTGCCGCGATAAGCGCTGGGCTGAATGAGTGTCAAGACATGGTTGATAAACTCACCTGCGTCGTGTTGTTGAAGCGGCTGTGGCCATGACCGCAGCAAACCATGCTATGCTATCAACCAAGTTAATTCGACTGGACTTAGCAAGCAGTTGCAGGCTCCTCCATATGCACCGGCTGGGTGGCTGGACATGGCACCCATCCAGTATAGAGCCTGAGCTGTGGAGTTTGCATAGCAGTAGTTGCAACTATTAACGAGTTTGGCCATCGGAAGTGTCGGCCGACTAGGGCCCACGCTGAGACAAAGCTGGGCGCCCTCTGACCCAGCAGCCTCCTCCGGCCGACCTAGACCGGGGGGCGGTCTCAGCGGGAAGCGCGGCGGCTCCATTGGCAATACGGCGTGGACAGGTAATTCTCCTCCAGCTGTTTTGCCACTGGCTGTCTCGCAAGTCGCTCCGGCCTGATCCTGGCCCCAATGAGCTTGCAGACTGCACTCCCGCAGAGGAGCTGGAATGCCCGATAGGTTGCATGGGACTCCGGCGCTCTCAGACCCACGGTGATCATGAAGGGGACCACCTCGAGATCCTGCTCCTTCTCCAAGTCCTTCGTGCTGCGGAAGTTCAGCAGGACTCCTTCCTTGGTGATATTGTCCTCCAGCAGTTGGAGCTGGGCTTGCACTGCAGTGCTCTGCATTGGCTGCTGATCCGTCTTTTCTTGTCGTTTCTCTTTGGGATTCCATCCCCAGTAATTCCATACTGGGTCCAATGCATTGTGACCCTCGGCCATCCACCCTGCAGTGATTGCCCGGCCGCATCGGTCCTCGTCCTGAAGGAAGGCTGTCAATCGTGACTGGAGTTCTTTGATGACTGCCAGCAACAACAGGTTCCGCAGTGGGCTCTTCACGGTCCCCGCTGCATACTTTTGGGACCACTCCATCGCCACCGCCTTCACCCCTAGCATGATGCCCGCTGCCGGATTGGTCTGGGGGGTGTCCAGGAACAGCATGAATCTGCCATCCGCCCGAAGGCGGCCCAGCTCCGCTTCGTGCCGCAAGGATAGCTGCACCAGCGACTTGATGACTTCCGAGTATGGTCCCCCTGGGGCGCGCCCTACGCGCGCGCTTCGGGCGGCCCCTGGGGCGCGCCCTACGCGCGCGCGCTTCGCGCGCTTCGCGCGCTTCGCGCGCTTCGCGCTGGTCCTCCTGGGGCGCGCTTACGCGCGCGCGCGCGCGCGCTTCGCGCGCACGCGCGCGCGCTTCGCGCGGCTTCGCGCGGGTACGTGCGCGCTTCGCGGCTTCGCGCGCTTCGCGCGGCTTCGCACGCGCTTCGCCCGCTTCGCGCACGCTTCGCACGAGCTTCGCGCGGCTTCGTGCGCGCTTCGCACGCGCTTCGCGCGCCTTCGCGCGCGCTTACTAGTACTATACTACTACTACTACTACTACTACTACTACTACTTATACTACTACTACTACTACTTATACTACTACTACTACTACTACTACTACTACTATTACTACTACTTGCTGTTGTTCATTGGTTGC